AAATTTGAAATACATATTAAAATATATATAAATAAAATACATATTATATATTATATATATATTATATATATATTATATATGTATATATATATACATATTATATATATATTATAAATTAAAATACATATTAAGTTTCCTGTATATAGTTTTCATAGAAGAGGAAATGAACCAGAAAGGGGTTCCAGCGTGGTACCTTTGTTGAGTGATGATGTGCAACTTTCAGTTGACGAATATAGGAATAAACTTTATGCAATGATGGACGAGAAGCATCGGAAACACAAAAATATGTGAGTATTCGTTTATTTAAACATCCAATAATTATTACTTCATGTAATGGAGATCATACTACATTATTAAAATATTCTTCCGATGTAATCTCTTAGTTGTCAATTCTTTTTGTAAATGATAATTTTAACGAAATTAAATATTTATATCTTATATGCTATAGTAGTTTTTTTTATCTTTGCATCAACATATTTTTCTAGGCCAAAATCCAGACTGCGGCAAATGTCTGAAAGCATCAAGAAAGAAACTAATAATAGTAAGAGCAATCCGATGATCGGCCAAGGTGATTGTCAATAACAAAATTATATAAGATTTTTTTATTTCTTGTAATTTTATTTTATTAATTTTTAATCCATTTTTCCGCATTATTTTATTTTCAGCATGTTCGTTATTGTCAAATAAGAAGATAATCAGATCATCTCAAAGTGACAATATTGAGCGCGTCACAGGAACACAGATGATAAATAATTCCATAGAAACACCGATGCAAGAAACAAATTCCCGACATAATGGTAAGAATTTTGCAACAATTATCTTCCTAATCAATTTGAAGATGTGCTGTGAAATAATTATTTAATTCAAATCGTGCCCATGTTTTAACTTCAAATTTGTTCACCAGAATGATGAAATTTTTTTATCCTGCATGCCTACACGCTTGCACATCGAAGATTAAATTTATCAGAATTATATTGGTCTTCAATAAATTTCAACCTCTTTGTTTACGATCAATTGACAGTTAGGAACGTGGCGACACAATATGCTTGTAACTTGACAAATGGCTGCCTAGGAAACGCACCCTCATCGACGGGTAAAAGTTGCTTCTACTTTAATCACCAGCAGCACTCGCAGCTGTCAAAGTTCCAGCGTCCCATTCAATCGGATCAAATAGCCATGGTGAGCTGTAATATTGTTTTTTCGTTTATTTCGCATCCCTCCTTCCTCCCACATCGTCTTTTCTTCATCTTACGCTGAAAGGTAAACAAAAATTTTGTTATTACAGGCATGTCGTGTGGGATTTGCATTTAGTAGGTATTGTAATCACTCGTTTTATGCGTCACTTATCAGAATGCATTCAACTTTAATTTATGCATGCAATTTGTCTCGTCGTGCTTTAACTGCTCCGCCATAGAAACAACTGAAAGTAACTCGCGTAATCAGCAGGTTTAGATAATTTTTATTATCTTGAATATTAAAACAAGTAAATTTTGATAATCAAATAAATTTCATTAAATTAATTTACAATTTCAATCGTGACGAATCATTTTTTTGAACATGAAATGGAAATATTTTTCAATGGCGCACGGAGAGAAATGTTTTTTTTCTTTGTCATGTAAAAAAGAAGATTACACTATGATTTGTCATATTTATCTTTGTATCATGTAAAACATTTGTATCGTGTACTTTATATTTGAAGCTGATACTTTCTTGTGCAGATACGATACGTTGCATTATCTAAACAAAACAATCGCATTTGACGCTATATGACCCACACAGATACCATTTACAATTGTCTGATAAACGTACTATTATCTGGAATGTTTACATGTCATTTACTCGTCCGTTTCTCTGTCGAATCTAGTAATCTTTATGCATCAAGAGCGCAATCAATTCACGTCACCGCATATATTAGTGTCACATTTATGATTTCATTTCATCACGCTTGATATTTGTTCCCACGACATTGCTCCATTTTCAGCACGACACCGGAGGCAGATCTTACCAGCCAGCAGCAACGACACGACACGCCAAGCCACTAAGAGCCTGCAGACAGCAGAATCTCGTGCAGGCGTCCAGACCGTTCGCTCCAGCGTCCGCCAATTGCGACGATTATCGGCTTAAAGCGACGCCGGATGCGAAAGTGATCAGGATCAGCGACAGTTCGAGCGACGTCAGACGGCCCAGCAACACCACCAGGAACATCATCAGAACCCATCAGGATATTAGGACGACCGCGGGAGATGGAATTGGGAGTCCGCGATCGCCATATCAGAGTCACTATCCGCAGGCCATCCGCAACTATCTGAATCAGACGATGCCGACGTTGCAGCAACATTCCCAGGCGCGAAGTCGCGCATCTTGCCGTGGTAGAGACAGCCTCGTCAACAACAACAACAACAACAACAACAACAAGTCGTTTGCTATCGCGGATCACACCGCTAACAATCGCGTGAAGAGCGCGGCGCGCAATCAAGGGGGCAGATTACACGCGAGGCAGAGCTTCGACGCCAACTATGCCGGTCAGAGGAGATCGTCGACGACGTACGACAGGTCGAAGTTCCTCAACAGCCATAGCCAGAGCTACGGCGTCATAGCGGAGTCGGTTTATAAGAATCTCTGTAATGGGACTATAGGCTAGGCTAGGCGTACAGTGGGCCTCGCGAAGAATAGAAAAGATGATGATTAGGGCGAGATAATCGCGGCGATGATCGCTTCCCTTATTCTTTCGAGATCGAAGCGTGCGAATCGTGGACATTGGTTTCTCTCATAACATAATTTTCACGCGTGATGCGATATCTCGAAGATCTTTTGCGCGCTACGAATTCGCGAAACGGAATCCGAATAAATCAGCGATCGAAGCATCTTTTAATTTAGGTAGATGTAATACAGCAATCTCGAAGAACGTGTATTTCCTTTTTAATTTGATAGTAATTTACATTTAATCGAAAATTCCCTTTTGAACATTCGTCTTCGAACGCAAACAAACTTTACGACAAAATTGAGAAAAGTTTAAGTTAAGGCTCTTGCTGGCTTATTGCTATTCTTATCTGAATTAATGGTGTCAAAAGTGGAAAAACTTAATGAAAATTCTTGCAAGGTACATTACAATGGAAATATTTTCTGATAAAATAATGTTCGCAATTGATACAAAAAATTTTTTATAATATATATTAGAGATGAGTTTTCAATATATTTTGCAAATTTGTTTTATCGATTACAAACGTTATTTTATTGAAAAATATTTTTATTGTAATATATTTCGTAAGAATTTTCATCCATGTTTTCTTTTGACATCACAATTAAAAATAATTTGAATCAACAGGAGCCTTAAGGATCCCATAATAAAAAACAGGTAGTCGTCGTAGAAGATTCCATAGTTCGTTCATGCAGGAAACAAGCCATCTCACGCGAATATTAAAAAGTTCCTGAAAAATGAAATGAATAAATTTTTACACAAAATAAATACATAATTAAGGTTATAAATATGATAGTTCGCGTTCCCAATTGAGGATATAATTGGGAATACCCGTCAAAAATAATCTTGTAATTAGCAAAAGAAATATGATTTCTAAGATTACCCCGATTTTTTAAGATGTCAAAAGTCAGGTGGAGCATAGCTCTCTTCTATAAAAAAAAAAAAAATGCGACAATAAGCGAGATCGAATAAGAGATCAAACATTTTTTTTCGAGAATAGAGAAGGAATGGCAATTTTGGTAATTAGCAAGAATAAGATAAAAAAAAAAAGAAACGGAAATCGCGCAGATTTATTCCGTGGGAATGCAAGGAATGTAAAAGCTCAGGATGTAAGCAATATAAATCGATCATGTGGGGCCACACAGCGGAGCATTCTAACATACATATTTTTCTATGATACTTTATTTATATGAAGTAGATATACGGATACACACGTATACATACACGCACGCATACCAGCATGTAGCCGTCATCGATTTAGTGTACAAATCTCATTGTATTATACATCGAGTCGCAATATCTTTGTTCAGCGATGATCAACAATATTCGGTCTCGTTGTGTGCTATATGTGTATCGTGAGAGCAAAAGATTTTAATAAAGACAAAATTTTAATAAAGATAAAAAAGGTATTTCACGCACTCGCGTGATTTTTTTGCTGAGTAAACTAGGTCAAATTAGTTAAGCTCAACCTCTTAGTATCTAAGCTTAAACTTTCATACATTTACTTACAATTTCATTTTATTTATATACTTTACGTATGTTTCATCATTCGTTTTAATCAGCACTTATTAAGCTTTAGCTTATTTCCATTTGTCTGCCCATTTAGAATCAATTTTAATTCGGAATTTATTTTAGATAATGTAGGTTAATAAGTATTATTGTTAATTTGATTCATTAATATCAAACGAATAGTATCGGATCTAAATTAATACAGTTGAGAATCTGAAATCTTTTTCATCATTGTGAATACGTCGATTTTTATCCCAATAATTCCAATAATTTATAAAATGGAAGACTATATATAACGGATCCGGTAAAAATTGAAAGACACTTTCTCGTATTAAGAAATTCATCTATCATTTTTGACAATGTCTGTTTATAACTATTTTCTACTTTAACTTTATAACAATTGTAAATTAGAGGAAACAACATCGACACTTTTTCAGCATCACCTTTATTTATTATCACCTATGCTAAGTTCCAACTGAATTTCATGCATAATTTGTACAGACAAATGCTTATTTTTTTCTATGTAATTATTTATATAATTAAGCGAGATATTAATCAAAAATATTAATCAAAACATTATAGAAACATGATATTTTTTAATTGTTTGTATACCTTATAGACAGACCTCTGCGACTTTTTCTTTTAATTCATTATCTACATTTGATCTATGAAGCTATGAAAGAAGATGAAGATGGAATTAGTGCGATGGCGAATCGATCGTTCGAATCGATCGCGCGGATGCAGTCTGTTGTCTCTGAGATTATCACAACATCTAAACATTAGCGGTATGAAGGATGACCAAATATGTAGTTATACCAGAGGCTATCTGCAAAAAATAATCGAGGTTAACAACCTTCAAAACGATTTTATGTAAAGACATATAAAATAGACATCCGAAACTAAAATTATGTAGCTTGCGTTTAAAGCATTAGTCAAAATTTTAGACAATAATTTAATATTGATTTTTACGAATCGATAAAATTAAAGATATTGTTTTTAAATGTATCGCAATAAAGTAATTAAACAAAAATTGAAAATAAAGTATAAATAAAGTATAGTAATAAAGTTTGTATTCACACACACACACACACACACACACACACACACACACACACACACACACACACACAGAGAACTAAA